AGCCGCCGGAAGATGCCCTGTACTCAACAAAAATAAGAGCAAGTGCAGTATCAGTACACAACCAAAGTGTACTGGTAGGATCACGCGGCTATCCCACTAAGTGTAACATACATAAGTCAAACAACAATATAATCACATGCATATATCGAATATACACAATATTATCAACGCTTACAAACAACGAACAACTTCACATTTCTCAAAATACACAATTATGACAAGTCATTGTTCCTCTCATGGAACCCAAACCCAAACAGTTAGCATACCGGAACATGGTACCCGATCCAATAATTATGCCGGAACGTGGCAACCGATCCCATAATTATGTTAGAACGTGGCAACCGATCCAAGATAGATATGCTAGAACGTCGCAACCGATACATTCAACACACCACAATGACAATCATAAGTATATCTTCAAGATCATACATTTAAGTCATGATTTTATGGTAACCATCATTCATCTATCTCATTTACAACAAGTGTGATCAATAATGAAATAATCATATAAATACATGTATCATAATGAAGCAAGAACATACATACATCACACAATCATAGAATCACAACCATCACCTACTTCGAAACAAGCCTGAAACCCTAAGAAGTTTGATCCTTCCCTTTCTGAATTCGTTCCGCTTGTTCTTGGTCTACAAACAATCATAATAACATAGGAATCAATAAACAATCACTAATTACCTGGATGACCAACAATTTTATGAACCCTAGATCAAACACATGATCCGAATTAACCAAAATAGGGCTTTTTACACCAAATAATCTAGATCAAAACCCTCCCCCATCGATAATTACCCATTCTATTACGTTCTACGGATAAAAAAATGGATTCAGGAAGTGAAAAACTTACCTTTAGCCTCAAGAATGGTGGAAAACTGTTAGGAGTCGCCCGGTGTTTGTTCTTTAGCTCTTAAAATTGGAAAGTGCAAAATGAGGTCGTTTAGGGGTTTATTTATGACTTTAAGTTGCGTCGAACCCTCCACAGTGGCCCTCACCCTGCTGCAGCGGCCCCGCTAGAGTGGCTTGCATGAAACAATGAGCTATTTAAAGAATTCACAAATTCCCATTTCATAACACACCTTTAACCCATGTCACTCTGAAAATACCCTTCACGCTAAGATAAATTTCGGGAGTTCTACTCGCTCAAATTCAAGTTCGTAAAGTTGTACGGATTCCTTAACAAGTTATCTAACCACTCATGTAACCAAAATTATAAATAAATCACATGATTGTTACCAGATTTCCCTACACCTTAAAGAGTTCGATTTCATCCAAATCTAGAATAGGTTGGGAAAATCCAAATACTACGAAAAAGATTTTAGGCCCCAAATTTTCCCCCGTTGGCTTCCCTATAATGACGGAACCCAGCCGTTACAATAGATACCAATTTACCCATGACTCGTCCCCGAGTGACAAACTTAGGAAAAAGAGGCTATGGAAAAATGAAGTAGTACCTGAATCGACGAACAATTGGGGATACTTGTCTCGCATGTACCTCTCGGTTTTCTAAGTAGCTTCCTCAACTGGACGATGCTACCATTGAACCTTCATGGACTTAATCTCTTTGGTCCTCAACTTGCGCACATCACGATCAAGAATTGCACTCGGTTTATCGTCATATTGGAGGTCCTTTTATAACACAATTGAGTCCCACTTAATGATATAATCCCCATCACTATGATACCTAATGAGTCCACAAATTGGACTCATTTAGGGATTTATTTTAATAGAAATAGTGTCCTCAAATGCCTATTTTATCTCAAAGTCTGATGAAAACTCTTAAGTTTCAGGTATTTGAAGTTTGAGAAATAGTGTCCTCAAATGCCTATTTTATCTCAAAGTCTGATGAAAACTCTTAAGTTTCAGGTATTTGAAGTTTGAGTGAAAGCATGGACACTTACGCGCAAAATGGAACAAAAAGGAACAAGAAGGCTGAAAAAAATGAAGAAACTGAAGCCTGAGCTTCACCAAGCACACTTGGCGAATCGCCGAAGGGACATATTCCGCCTTTTGTTCCAGTACGCGAAGCCCTGAAAGAAGAGGATTAAAAAGGCGATGAAAGGAGCAGTCGGCATGTTGCCGAACAGTTCCGCGAGGCAGGGATATACCGCCCAATGATCCAGGACACAAACATGCTGAAGGAAAAGGACAAAAGGCAATGAACCAGAAGAAGGGTGAATTGCAGAGTTGATCGGCGATTCCGATTAATGTCGCCGAATGACCCGCTGCAGCACAAATTTTTGAATACTATAAATGCTTGTTGAGAGGTATAGCTTAGTATCAAATTTTAGTATTATAATATTTTTCAGTGTGAAGCATTTATTATAATTTTGGTACTTTTTCTCTGAGTTTGAGAGGGTTTTGAAACTTGAAGAAGAAGAGGGTTTCATCTCCAAGGAGTTGGACTTGGGTGTCTCAAATTCTTCACTCTTGTCCTGTAACAAGACCTAAATCTTCATACCCATTTGAATGCAAGCTCATTTAGGTATAAATTTCTATCTGTTGATGTGTGGCTAAAAACCCCAATTCTTGGGGTGTGATTTAGCAAATATGTGTTGAGATTATTGTTGGGGTTTGCTTACTGATAGGTTAGATTTATTTTAATGGTGATTTCACCTAGTAGTTGTGGTTTAATTTAATGGGTTTGTAGTTGCAAATACAAAACCACTCATGTGTTTTCGGCTTGCTCGAGAGAGAGGTCGCCAAACCAAGACCGCTAGACTGATGGCCTAAG